TGTTTTAGGACCTATTCTTGCATTTTTTTCGTGGACTTTTTATTTTTATGGAAATTTTCACAATGGTAAGGCTATAGTAAGGCATGTTTTGGGTGATTTTTGAAATATTCATATAATCGTATGAACCATTGTGAAAAAAGTCATAAAAATAAAAAGTCCCCGAAATGCAGTAAAATGCAAGATTATGTCCTAAAACATGCTGCCAAGTGAATATTTTGTGTTTAAAAGTCCAAAAAGTATGTTATATGAATATTTTAAAAATCACCCAAAACATGCCTTACTATAGCCTTACCTTCGTGAAAAATGCAAACACTAAAAAGTCTTCGAAATGCCTTAAAATGGAAGCTTATGTTCTAAAACATGCTGCCAAGTGAATATTTTGAGGTGCATGCTCTCTTGACTGACGGCACATACCCCTTCTTTACTACTGCTTGGGTCCTGGTCCCCAGGAAGGGTTGGAGCCTCTTTACACAGAGTCCAATGATGTGGTCTGCTCTGTTCTTCCTTAAGTCCAGGATGATTTTTTTGGTCTTTATTGCATTCAGCGCCAGGTTGTTGGCCGGACACCACGTCGACAGGACCTGTAAGGAAAAGGAAAGGAAAGTCAACTCCTTGTCATTGTGACACACACCACTGCACACAACCAAATGTGACCTCTGCATTTAACCCATCACCAAAGTGAAGAGTGGGCAGCTTTAAGCGCCCGGGGAGCGGTGTGTGGGGACGGTACCATGCTCAGAGCACCTCAGTGGTAACCTGACAGCTAGTGGACTCAAACCTGAAGCCTTCCAGACCCAAGTCAGCTTCCTTAACCACTAAGCAACCACTGCCTCCAGTAAGCAGATCTCCCTGAGATCAGCCCCACCGCTGTTGTGTCGTCCGCAAACTTCACAATGGTGTTGTTGGGGTGGGTGGGGGTGCAGTCCAATGCGTGGAGTGTTTAGAGGAGGGGGCTCAGCACACACCCTTGTGGGGACCCAGTGCTCAGTGTTCGGGTGGAGGACAGGTGGGGTGGCGTTTCACTGCCTGGGCTCGGTTTGTCAGAAAGTCCTTGACCCAGTTACAGGTGAGTGGGTGAAGTCTCAGGTCAGACAGTTTGCTGACCAGGATGTCTGGGATGATGGTATTAAATGCTGAGCTGTAGTCAACATCCTTACGTAGCTCTCCCATTGTTCCAGTTGGCTGAGTGCAGTGTGGAGGGCAATGGCGATGGCGTCCTCTGTTGACCTGTTTGCCCTGTAGGCAAATTGGTGTGGCTCGAAGGAGGAAGGAAGACAGTCCTTGATGTGCCTCAGGACCAGCCGCTCTAGACACTTTGTGATGATTGGTGTGAGGGCGACCGGCCTGTAGTCATTCAGTTGGTTTGTGACTGGTTTCTTGGGTATATGGGTATGATGGTGGCAGATTTAAGGCAGGCTGGGATGGCGGGGATGTTGTGTGTTGTTATAAGAGAGGTGGTTCTCACCTCCTTTAGTAGTCCAGCTTGGCCTCCCTGATGCCTCTCCTCAGGTCAGCTCTGGCAGTGCTGTAGAGATCTCTGTCTCCAGACCTGAAGGCTGCATTGTGTGTCCTGAGGAGTGGCTGGACCTGGCTAGTCATCCAGAGCTTCTGGTTGGGGAACACCCGGGTGTGTTTCTTCACTGTGATGTTGCCCATACAGAACCTGATGTAGGATAGCAGCGTCTCTGTGTCGTCTGTGAGTGCCTACAACAAGAAGAGGAACTGGCAGTAATATGTAGAATAATTTGCATAGAAACATAGAGAATTTGCATAGAGAATTTAAAAAAAGTTATTTTTAATGCTGTAATAGAAACTTACTGAGGAACAGGTCAAGGGAAGAATCCAAATATGTGTTGACAGTGCAAACCATGGACCACAACAAACAGATGGATGGCAGCAATTGTGGGGGTTCTAGTGTTGAAGGTGCTGTATCTTAGTGGAAAATTGCTAAAAAAAATTTTGTGAAAATAAAAATAATAAAAAACAGTTTGCTGAAAAATCCTAGATTGAGCTTGATTATTTTCTCTTTTACAGTAAGTGCTGCATTGGGTAACATTTTTTACATGTATAAATGTAAAGAATATAATTAAAGTGCTACCCTAAACACTGAGAGAAAAGGTATTTACAGGGATTTTCTGTGTAGCCTCAAATAATGTGCTACCACCTTGAACACAGTGATAAGCATGTAAGTTTGGGGATTTGATGTGTATAAAAATGTGCTACCACCCTGAACACAAATGTCAGATATGGCTATAAATTTCTACTACTGGTTTAAAAAAACTTCGTAAAAAGCAGTCCTGGAGACTGCTGCCCCCGCGACCCGGGACAGAGATTTAAATATAAATAATATGAGTGTTTGTTGTCCACAACGAAACATGTTGTACATCAAAAGGAAGACATTGTTGGCTTCTGCTTATCCTTTTATTAACAGCACTGTGCAAATACCTCCATTGTGATATGAGCTTTAAAAACCATTAACAAGTTCATGAATGCCTTTTTACTGATGGGAAGCAACACAGCTACATGGAACAACTCCTCCCTCTTCTGGAGGAAAGCTGAACTACCCCTAGCAGTGGGGGCCAGGGCATTAAGCATCACTGAGGGTGGGGAACAGAATGGATGTGGGATGTGAAAAAGTCTTTGAGGCTTTTTTTTTTCCACAGATCAGCACTTCAGCTCTGAGTGATGGGAACAGGATGCAACTGATAAATGGGAATACTGCACAATCTTGTCTTCAGAGATCCAACGACTCAACACCTACAAACACTCCTCCAAATATTAAGGCCTTCTTCAAAACATGAGGATTTTTAAATGTGTGGCACTTGTTCACAGAATTATTCACACGAGTAAACAAAACCTTTGGAACAAAATACAAGTACAGGAATGCAAAAAAACAAACAAAAAAATTATTTAAATCTTGCTTTTCATTTAACACATTTTGTACAGTTGGCTTTTCTTTAGCGTGACAGTATCTGAGCTCAAAAGTACAAATACACACACATGCTGTTCTTAGGAGACACAGTATTAGTACAGTATTGAGAATTCAGGAAAACTCTAATTACCCATCATTCCAATGTTCCTTAAGGCAACAAGAGACACAGGAGAGAAGAGGAAATAAAAGCTAGAGTAGAGTTAGACAAAGCTTTTAGATAACACAGTGTAACCCAGAAAAAAAGGTTGGTTTAATCACCTGTTATTTACATCCTCCGAACAAAAACCTTTACATGCTGTGAAAAGATGAAGTCAGTGTACCTAAAAAAAAAAACTTTCACTCTTAGTACCTGAAAAAAGCTGTGCTGCAAATACTCAAATATGAACAATGTGCAATTCATAATTTGACAAAACACAACGAAAGCTACTCAAATGACTTCATCGAAGTTTTGGCTAAATCTCACCTGGATTGAGTCATGTGATCCAGGTGCAAGCCACAAGTTTAGTTTAAGGTTATTCCTGAGTTATTTCTTATCGTTGGCCCCAAATACTGATTAGGGCGTAGACCTGGGGTGGGCCACAAAATACCCAGGAGCCTACTTTTGAAAGTTTCTTGCTCTGCCACTGATGTGAAGGAAAAGCCTGTGTGGATCCTTCTTGCAACCACAACATAATGTCTTGTTAACACAGTCAAGAGAAGAAAAGAAAATAATAATAAAAAAAACAACACTGAAGAAATCATCAGCTGGTGAGGGCTGCGAGCCCACAAGCTGCTGGTACTTTCAAGTATGCTACATCAGTGACTGGTGAAACACGGGCGGGGGCGCGAGGGGTGGGATACTGTCACTTTAAAGAAGGTGTTAAACATGATATTCACATCATGCACATTTAAGGCTTAATTGTTTTAGGACTAACAAGAGTAGCAGCAGTGGATCACTTCTGATTGGTTTAGAACAACAATAGTTAGGATCGCTTTTACTGTGATGTCTCAATATAGTAGAACGATTACTTTCCCCCCGGCTTCTAAACATTGGACCTGGACCAAAAACAGAACTATGAAAGTTCCCAGCCAATAACAAGAACAACAAGAACAAAAAAAAAATCATACACACTCACACACTTGCATGTCTGTTACTGCAGGGCATGGACACTGATGTGTGACTTTTAATAATCTCATTTTCAGGCTGGACAACAACACACAACCACCAGGTCCTGACAAATGAGTTACAGCAGTAGAAGGTTTCTGCTTTGTTTGACTTGACTTAAATCCACATTCATCGTGTTCAGGGAGTGATGTTAGTTTGACAGAAAAACAGACATAAAGAGAAACCCAAGCACACAAATGTGGTCATACAAACAGGCACGCACACACACACGCGCAAACACGCAGCATCAAACAGTTGTATGCACCTGAAACTACTGACATGCTACTCAAAAAGAAAAAAAAAAGTACCAAAGCAACAAAGTTACTTAAAAGGCCATAAAAGAGTGAAATGATGATGGAGAAAAGCTGCATGTTATCGCTGCTGCTGCTCATCACACTCACGTAAAGATGATATGAACGCACAACTCTTCCTCACACTCCACTCCCCCTCTCCATGGGACAGAGAACCCAAAACCTCCTGTAAGCTGGTCCCCATCTCCTCGTGTCACTTCCTCCAACAGTGATCCTTTAAGCTGAAGTCAGGTTTTCGCATACTGTATATGCACGTACTGTTTATATATTACACATATTTTATAGATATATTTACTCATATATTAAATTCTTATATAGACATACATTTAAAGTCTTATTGTTGTGAGGTGTTGTTATATTTTCAGCAAGAAAAAAAAAGAGAAGAGACATCATCGCCCCTGGGTTTGTCAAGACTCCTCTCATATGAATTTCCATCACTGTTCCACACCCACCTGTCTTCCACCGTCAGTCTTGACGAGATGTTTTCCTAAAAAACCGGGCCTGCTGTAGAAGTAGTACAAAAAGACCCGTCACTGTTCAAAGAGCATGGAGTGCAGGGCACAGACTTCCAGAGGCCATGAGCTTTGCTGGAGTTGTCAGCCTGTTAAAATCCACAAGGGGGCGTAGGGCGTCAGCCAGCACTGAAGGCGGTGCTGCAGGCAATGGGGCTTTGGGCTGTGCAAACCTAAACCCTGGAGCCAAAGCTGGGGTGAAAGAACAAACGACAGCAACCCTGGCACCAGGAGTGTGCTATGTCAGGATATGAGCGGTGGAGGGAATGGAGACAAACTCTCGCAGGATATTCTTGGCCATTTCCATATTGTTCTGTGCAATCATCAGTGCTTTCTGGATGTCCTGGTAAGAGTATCCCTGACTCATGAGATGCTCGATCTCACTGCTGATTTGAAGATTGGCTTCTCCTCCCGTTGCCCCACCACTGGGCGGAGCAGGGACAGGGCTGTGTCGACGCTCCGAGTTGATCCGTCTGGGCAGAGGCTTCGGGGGTCTCTCTGGTGCTTCTGCTGCATCTGAGAAGGCTGATGACACGAAGGAGAGTTGGCAAAAAAAACTTTTTAATTATTTAAAAAAAAAAAGTTAACATGATGTTCAACTTGTAATTTGGCACCTGAGTCAGACGGCAGTGAGTGAGTAACTCTGAGAAGAGCTGCACATCTATATGATGGACTATAGTTAACGGGTTGACATTTCCTACGCAGTGACCTTTAATGAAACACACTCAGGGCCCAATTACAGCTCTGCCTGTGAGTGTGTGACGGCCAATTATACTCTGTACTGCACAAAGAGATCTTTAGTGAAACACTCTGTCACCTGGCAATCACCTTAAATGTCAGCTGCCTAACATCATATTCCATCATCACCACCACCACCACCACCACCACCACCATCATCATCATCATCATCATCACCACCACCACCACCACCACCATCATCCCTGTTTTAGCTCTTATATATTGGTTTATGACGATCCTTATAAGCAGAGATTCCCAACCACTGGACTACAGACCAATACTGGAAACCTCTGGGTATATTAGTACAGGTCGGCAAAGAAAAACGTACATACAGTATACATATTAAGGGAAACAGAACACAGAGGCCTCAGTTCAGTATGTAAATCCATACTGACAACACCATCCAGTATATTTACCCTGGCATTTTACAGCTGTCACAGTCACTGCAAAAATTAAATTCCGTAATATTAACAAGCTTACACAGTACATGATTGGTTACCACCACCGTGGCTGTGGTACAATGACGATCTACGACATGACCATGAAATAATGTGTGCTGGAATAAGGAAAAGTGTTGACTCACCTGCTGCTGCTCCTGCATCTGAATCCAATGACAGGCGGCTGAAGGCTGTGATGGACGAGGAACAGGAAGAGGACAGAGAAGATGACCCAGTCAGCTCCGACAGCGTTCTTCGAGCAGGAGGCAACGGCAGCCGGAGTTTTGGAAACTCGTAGCCGTTCTCCTCGTCGTCATTGTTTTCGAGTGCTCGCGCTTCAGGACCATTGGTCAACGAAAGAGGAGGCAACTCCGAGTAGTCTAGGACAGAAAGAAAATAGGATTAAATTGTAAGTGTCTATTAAATTATTTATTATGTCTCCAATTTTTTCTTAAAGGACACTTTCAAATGAGAGGAACATTTCATGTTGAACAGTATGTATTTATATCTTCTATTTTTACTGTTGTTATCAATGGCTTGAATATTTGGTAAGCTGAACAGATAACTTTTCGGGATCAGTACATTTTAAAGTAAGAGATGTAGAAGGAAGTCTGCAGAGCAGTGTGAAAACAAGAATACACGATTGAACAGATGAAATATTTTAAGAAAATATTGCAAAAGTTAATGAGACAAAAAAATGCTGGGGTGTTTTCTCCTACAGCGAGACTAAACTGTAAAAAAGCACATTTAAACAGGTGAAGTTAAGTGACCTGATTCTCTGGCCTGCTGTGACCTGGCCTGGATGTTGTACATGGCTTCATATGTTTGAGGACCTTCATCTAGATCAGATAAAGCGAGCCTGCAAAGAACAAACAGACAGATTTTTTATTCTCCTAGAACTGAAAGAACATTTAAAAGATACAGATAGAGACATCCAAGTTATCTCAGAGCTTGCGAACTAACATCTAATTTTCTCTCAACCTAATTGATGTCTGAAACCAACAGTCATTTTTAACCACTTGTTTAAAGAGTACCTCAGATAATCAAACCACAGAATTGTGTATTTATTAATTTTGCAATTAATTATTAAGATAATTCTTGAACACCTGGAGTTAAGCGTTAAAGTTTGGCTCTGTGTCTGGAGTGCAGGAGGAGGCTGAGGTTGTGGGGGTCGTGGGATTGGAGTGGTCTCCACACTTGGTGTGGTGATGGGGGGCAGGACAGGGCGAGAGGAGGGGATCATGTACTCAGACTCCTCCTCGCTGTCACGCGCCTCCTCCCCTGTTACTCCCCTCAGGGCCTGAGGTGTTCTGCAAACAACAAGAATTGGAATATTTACCGTGAGAATGAATTCATTTCATTTTATATTTATTCAAATCTGACTTAATTTATGAGTGGTTGTCAACAGTATTTTAACACTTTGTGTTACTTTCTCTAGACACAACAGACAAGTTATGTACCTGCAAGTCAGTGAATAGATGGCGTTGGCTGAAGCTGAGGGCTTGACTTTGGGGTTGTCATAATCCTGACCAACAATTGAGGCAAAACTCTGTTTAAAAAAATAAATAAAAATCACCATTTAAGACAATGCAACACGTTCGACTTTTTTATAACTTGTTTCCCTCGCTACACTTTTTATTTAGTGTTAAATGTCTCATTCAATATTTTTTGTAATTGGAGCTTATGAAAAGATTCTAGTCCAACAGATGTAACAGGTCAGTGTGTGGTGTCTGGCGGCTGCTCTGACCAGCTGATGATCCAGACTGTGGGAGCTGTTGTTCTTCAGGGAATCTGGCCGGGGGTCCAGAGTGGAGGGCAGTGCCAGTGGTAAAGAGTGTCGGTTGGAGAGTTCTCTGACACCTGCTCTAAATTCACCCCCCAGACTTGAAACTTGGGAGGAGGACGAAGAGGAAGAGGAGGATGAAGAAGAAGAGGAGATGGGAGCCTTGGGAACTGGTCTGGAGTTCCAGTCAGTCAAGGGCCGGTTAGGGGGTGTAGGAAGGAGCTTATCTCGAGGAGGCTCCCCTGGAGTGCAGGGTAAAGGACGCCTCTGCAGGCGGCCGTCAGATGCTGTCCCACCTGTGTGAGGCCGATCTGGAGGAGGAGGAGGTGGGAGATCTCTCAACACTGGGGGAAGAGGGAGCGGTTTGTCTTTGTGGAGTGATGCTGCCTGTAGGAGAGAAATGGAGATGCAGCGTCATTTATACCACATAAAGTATTGATGTAAAATCCAGGAAAATGGTGCTGTTAGCTTCAAGGCTGAGTATAATCCACTGGACAACAAACACATAAGGCCCACAGTTTGGAATTGTACATTATAAATAATGTATACGAGTTCACAGAGGTAAAATGCTGGCTCTTATTTACACACTATTTCCATCCCATCTACAGTTTCCATGAGCAGGCATTCCAGTAGAAATGGGTGGTGATCGACTTTAAAATGATTTAGACTCAAAAGAAAAAAACAGATTGTTGCACATTGTAAGTGAAAAGCTGAGTTATATCAGAGAAGAAATAACAGCAATAATAGGTGTGAACCTCGTTACCTTTGTTGTGACTCCAGGACTGGAGGCACCAGAGGAGTTGGGAGGTCTGTGAGGAGGTAACAGGTCAAGTCGTGGAGGCACAGGGGGGAGAGAGGACTGAGGAGCCATAGACATGGGTGATGGAGGACGCTCCACCTGGATCAGATTTACAACAAAAGAACATATTATCAGATTATACTGCACAGACAGATATACACATAAGCAATAACATCTTCACAACTTTTACTATATATAAATATACATACATATTTACATGTATATGTACATATATATATACACATACATTGACCTATCCTCTTAGCAGGTACATATTTTCAGACTTCATTTGGAGTGAAACCAGCCCACACAAGTCTATCAATGTATGGAATTTTCAAATTAATTATGTGCCAAAATCAAAGCTTTATTTTTCTTTCTTACGAACTCACCTTTGCACATGCCAGTTTGCTCATCATTAGGTGAGGGTCTTCAAGTCTGTCATCATCATCGTCGTCATAGCTGGGTGATGGCGCACCCTCTGCCCCTATCGTGCTCCTGCAGGAGCCCCCGCTGTTGTCCTTGGGGTCAAACGGATCCACAACAATGGGCTCTGTGCCCTTAATCTCACAGCGACAGAAAGGACAACCAGTTCCCTGACCTTCTGATTCCTACCACAACACACAGAGATGAAAAGATGAGGTGGTTTTAAAATGGCTGTTGTGTCTGCAGAGAAGAGCTCTTCACAGTGAGCTATGCTCTCAGCAGGTACGGGTTTTCACACTTCACTTGGAGTGTAACCAGCCCACACAAGTCCACCATCCATCCATCCATCCACCCACCCACCCATACATACCTGCCAGGCAGTGAGACAGGAGGTGCACATGAGATGACCACAGGGCTCAATCTTCACATCCTTGTCATTCTCAGCACAGATCTTACACAGCTGGAAAGTGGAGCCCATCTCACAGTACAGTTCATATTGTTCCTGGAGGGGTAAAGAACACATCAACCTTTTTTTTACGTTACCTTCACACAATATATCATCACAAGACTACATCACCTAAGATCTTGAAGTGGAAAGAACCAGCGAATATATAGAGCGAAGACAGAGTGTGGTACATGTTTTTCGGTTTCAATTCTGCACCACAGCAAAAATAAACATGTCAATGGCTTCACAAAACCCAGAGCAGATATGTGAGGCTCTAACAATACACTATGGGAATACGCACAGTAACTCCACTGTATGCTGTGTCACCTGTGTGTTGCTGAGGGACAGAAATTAGTTGCTATGGTTTAAATTGTGGAAATCCGGAAATTAATATTATTGTATTAAATTATTGTAACAAAGGCTATCAATGCATTTAATAGTGTTTTGTGATCAACTGCAAGATAGTCCAAAGTTAACCAAGCTTTGAATTCTCTTGTAAACAGAGGAGTTAACAGATATTCTTCAGATTATTCTCCAGAATAACCTCAGGTATTGCACACTTTAACAAATGATTGCCTTGCCTTGATTCACCAGTCGAGCAGGGTCAAATCACTGAAAGTAGGTGCATTATTCTCATTACTGAAATTTGTATTATTGTATTATCCACAACCCTAATTTTTACACATATACAACTCGACTCAGGATTTAAAAAAGCATTAACTCTACATAAAATTCTGCTACAGAGAAGTTGATGTTAACAAGGTCTTAAAAATAAAAATTCCACAGAACTGTCAGTGTTGTTGCATTACTGTTTTTTATGTAATGGCACAATGAATGTCTCAGGTCATTGTGGTCTGTTCTCCACAATAGTACAGTGATGTTTATTAAATCAAATATGTTAGGAGCCTTGAAGATTCTACAAATCTACAGACAACACATAAAACTTGATAAAAAATGAAAAAAAGACCACTGACCAACAAAGAAGTCGGAGAAGTTTTCTGACCTGTGTGACTTTAATGTGGTCCTGGGGCGAAGGCTCACAGAGTCCGGTCAGGTCAGGGTTTTGGGTTCGACCATCAGGAAATAAATAACTGGGGCAACAAAGGTACAGTCAGTCTTGTGTCTGTTTAATTGTCATATGTAATATAAGATAATAAGAACTGCTGAGATCCATGCAGTATGTGGCGACTCCACAAGTGTTGCTGTTACTTCTGATGCGTGTTGTGAATTCAACCAACTGGTTTTCAATTTCAAACCAAGACTAAACGCATCAAGGCTAGCCCCCAAAAAACCTTAATGGTGAAATCATAGAAACCATTAACTATTTTTATGATGATTAGACCAGAGTTATGGAAACATGTTATATATGATTGAACTGGTTTAAACTGAGATCCTGAGAAGTAACAGAAGGAAATACAAATGAGCTGCGATAGATTTAACTGCATGCAATAAAAAGCACAGGCAGAAAATACAAGACAGCAACGATGAACATAACAATGACAAGTGAGCCAAAGGAAAACACCCTCGGACTTACAATCCTTCCCTGAATCCATCTATGAGAGCCTGGAAGAGGGGTTTGTTGTGAGGGATAGTCTGCAGTATGTTTCCGTCTGCCGTCACGTAGCCGATCGCCCACTGACCCAACCGTGTGCAACTGAGGCGGAAAATATAACTGTGGAGAGAAGCAGGACAGACTCAGACTTTGGATATTTGTCATGCATGTTGGAGAAATAGATGAAAAAAAAAATCAGATGAACATAAAAGTGTCAATTTCGAACTATTGAGGAATTGTTTACCATGAAGTCTCAGTGACAATCAACAAAGTTTCTACCCTCAGGGTACTCTGCAGACTACTTCCATGCTGCCATGCTACTGTATGTGCTACATAATGTCTTTCATGATGTGCTTATTATATGCAGGGAGACGTTAGACCGCATGCCCTTCGTGATGCAACGTAAACAGGGACTGGTGGTGGAACCAGGAAGCTTCAGCTTTGCACCTGATTTTCTTACCCAAATTCTTTACGTCTCTTGGAGAAAGCTTTGCCTGAATTTGTAAAAACACATTTGTATCATGGAACTGGGCTTCAAGTTGGGACAGGGATGTAGATGTTACCAAACACAAAATAACATTGACATTTTATAAAAGAGCTAGAACACAACTGTGCATTTTAATAATATTTGCAGACGTCAAAAGTGCCTGATATATAAAGGTTTAAGTTAAAGATACCAGTGACCAAGAAAAAAAAAATCAACAAAGACAATGCAAACCCCCTGTCCAGTCAAGGCAATTTCATTTGTCTAGTGCAAATTCACAAAATACATTTGTCTCAATAGGCTTTACGGTGTTGGCACATTCACCAAACATCTTATTCAAGGTGTGTTTTACAAGTTGAACATCTAGAAAGTCTTGTGGATGGACCCACAATAAGGACCCACAATACATGAGGGGCAATGAACTTGCTGCTTCAGTAGCTTCAGTCAAGTCTGAGGAGCCATTTGGGAATACCATGTAAACGTACATCTTATCTGGTCCAAGATGCAGGTGGCAATTACAGGTAGAATCGACAAGCAGGAAGCATGAGTCTGGGGAATTGCTCCAGCTGCTGATGTTTATGCACAAGCTGAAAGACTTTTCCTGACAGAACTGGCTTGATTTATGTAAAACTGCTTAGCATGCTAACTCATCTATTGTGGAGAGTTTTTTTCTATACTGTACCACCAGCAGGGGCCTTGTGAGAGTCTGCTGCATTTCGAAATGTTGAACCGTTGCACACTGGCTTTTGTGTTGTTTCTGCCCAATAGGTACTGTGTTTATGCCCTGGCCACGACAAACAGTTAGATTTCCTTTATGAAAAAAAAACAACCTCTGTGTGCTTACCATTAATTACTCTACTCAAGCATTAATGTGAGAATCAAGGCAGAACTCACTTTAGATACAGAGAAAAATACTCTTCTCTCTTTAAGCCTCACCTGCCAGGCTTGTGAATGAACTTCTGTAGACGTGCTTTGACCTCATCATACGTGAGAAAGGCCATGTACCCGGGGTGAGTAACTGCTAAGCTGTTCCAGTTCCGCAGCAGCGATGACCAAGGCTAAATACACATAGAGAAAGACAGACACAGACACACGTGAAAACGATGATTGACACATCAGCAGTGTGAGTAAATGGACAGCAGTGACAGCAGGGGGTGACTAACATAACAGCATCATAGACGCAGCTCAAACTGCATTATTGCTGAATTAACGTCAGGAAAATGCACAGTTCAACTGGATCAAGAGCTGAACTAGATAGACAGTAAGACTTTGATCAGGAGTCAAAGAAATGTACATCCACAAAATTTGAAAAAAAAAAACAAACAAAAAAACTTTATGGCCAATATAGCAAAACAATTAGTATTGAACACATGTTAAATATAATTACACAAACTTAAATATATATTTTACCCTAACCACTTCAGTATCCTTTTTGTTAAAATAAAAACGTACAAATCATACATGTAAAAAAATGAATGAAGCATATATTTGTGGTGATGAGCCTTTATCAGTGGATTTGTAGGATTAGGTGTAAAATCTTAAAAAACAGTGAATTTAAGAGAACAGATGCTGTTTTAAAGGAAAATATTTTAATTGGTATAATTTAGATTCCCCTCTGCTCACTTCCCTTATTCTATATGTGAAAGTGTCTCTAATTTTTTACATGTTCTATGTGTGTCAGAAACCTGATGTTTAAAAAAAAGTATTTTTTGTCAACCTCACAGGAGTCATTTCAATAATTTCAGATAAAATATATTATTATAGCTAACTTATAGATCAGAAGAGTTATTTAAAAAGTGAACACTGGATAAAATTAATGTTGCTCCAAATAATGATTCTTCATCCAATCTTATTACTGTCAACTCAAAGTCTCAAAGGCAGGCAAAAACAGGCCATGAGACAACTTCCTCTTCTCAGTATTTTAAATGGTCTTTGTGGGTGTAGGTGTGAACGTGTGTGTGCTAACTACCTGAAATAGTCTTGTGAAGATGTCAAACTCAAAAACAGAGATGTAGTCGTTGCAGGTGAGGTCTACGGTGGACTTGAGGGCCATGGCCTCCAGTCCAGAGCTGATGGGATGAATATCATGCAGAGCCAGACGGAACACCTTCCAAGGCACAATGGTCCTGGATCAGAAACAAAAATATATTAATTTCATCCATCACTACATCAAAGTGTGAGTTCCATGACATGACTCCCGCCTGCAGTACCAGGGACCAGCTAGGAAATGTGCAATTTAAAAAAAAATAACATGTCTCCAAGAACCATGTGATCAAACCTCTTATCAGTGGTAAATACTAGTCATGTCGGAAATCCTTATAGGTCTGCAGGACCCCAGGGTTGAAAGAATGCACAAAGATCTGAAGTAATATTTAGGCAGACTCACTTATCGCCAAAGGCCCGCCTCCAGAACTCTGCAGCGTCTGCCTTTGTGATGCGGAAGTTATCACCCTGAAACTGACCAACAGGGAAGATGGCCTTCAGCTCAGCCAGCATGTGGCTGAAGATCAACGACAGCTTGGTGAGGTTCCGTCTGAGAAAATGTAAGGAGAAGAGAGTGAGTGAATTCTAGGGTTTTTGTTGCTGAGGCTGTGGTTTCAGCATTAACAGAAGTAAGAGCTTTAAGAAAAAAAAGCAGCTGTGAAAACAGAATTACCATCAAAATAGGTAAGTTGTGTAGCAGCAGCTTCAGACTTCAAGATTAGAAAGATAAGTTAGAAATCCTGTTAATAACTTTATTTTTGCACCACATAATTTCCATATAGAGAGAATTATATTATATGTTATTTATTCATTTATTTTTAATTTTATTATTATTTATTTCCTTAAGGCAAGAGGTTGGTAGATGTTCTGGCTTGAGTTTACCTCCCATGAGTATTTTTCTGCATAAACATAGATGATTAACTCATCTATCATTTGAAAACAAAAAACAAAAAAAAAAAAACCTTGTTTCTGTGTTTATAATTTGTTTGTGCATATTTATATGTACAAAAATATACTTACTAATAATACACATTACAGAATAAATATATGAAATACTTAACATTTTTACTGAAGGATGGGTTTTTTTTCTCAAGTCAACAATGCAGAAATTCTGGTCCTTGAAGACAATGTGACATGTTTGTGGACACACAAGCAGTAAATTAGAACACTATGTAAAGGACACAGTAGAAGCCTGTGGTTGACTGTAACAGCAGAGGTCGAGGAAATGAAGCCTAAAACCATCAGGACACATTCGTTGCCATTTAGAGAGCCTTCATTTTGAGCAAAGTTCTTAACTGACAAAATAAAAAAAAAGTGATAGAAAAGTTAATAAATGTCACCATCTCTTACATCCAATCACCACGTTGAAGCTGAGAAAGCCATGATTTATTGGGCAGCACAGAGTGGGATTGTGCTGGGCTGCTGAGGGGCACCAATTGACATGCATGAGGGATATGGTAATGAAAAGTGTGGCTGCAGCTGCTCACTGCACTACACTACACTACAATATACTGAAGTATACTGCATTACACAGTAGCAGGTTGAACAAGAAAGACAGTGACTGGAGAGGGAGCAATAAGGTGAGTACGAGTTTAGATTTTGCAAGAAATAGTTCTTGAATAACTGACAGGAAATGTTCGCAGCACTTGAATTCTATGATCACTGAAGTTTATTTATAACCTCTTAAAGTTGTGATGCACTGGGACAATTTAAATTCACAGAGACTTTTTCCTCTGCGTCTCGAGCAGAGACAAAATGTTTAATTTTGTGATTTAATTTATCTTTTAAATGGTGAACCGGCTTCTCTTGGACATTTAAATCCACAAAATTATATGTCATCTTAGGATGTGACAAATCAACTTTTGAATTGGGAAGGTTGCATTTTTTTCAATAACAGGCCCAGTGTCAGTCATTACTCGTGCACAACAGTGGCCTTTTGTGCGTTCTCCAGCAGCATCAGCTCCAGTATCATCTCAGCAGGCAATTCTGTTACTTTTTCTCTTTAGTTCCTGGTTGCTTTGGATGACTGCACTTTGATGCTGCAGCTCAATCTATTCTCCTGACAACTCCTCCCTGCCCCTTATCAAAGTTACAACATCCTCTCTATTTAGCTTTTGAATCAGCTCAAATGAACACAAACTCTGACAACCCATAGATCAAATGTACTTTCTTTCAGTTATTCAACTCTAGTTTAAATTCTCTCATATAAATGTGTGATATACTACGATACTATAGGCAGAAAAATATAGAGTGTTATTAATTGTAGGAGAACTGTCAGCAGGGTAAACAACGCTGTTCTATGCTTAATATCAGGTTACTAAAATTGAAACAGAGGGATCTACATTTGTAATCGCTAGAGAAGAAATAAAAGCAAAATAAAATGAACTAATGGCATGAATATTTGCATGTCAATTTGACAATGAAAATCAATACAGTGCTGTAGAATATTGATGCGGTATCGTGAAACAAAATATGATATTTCAGTGGTTCCATAGTGTAGCGGATGCAGAGAGTCCTGGGTTTGATTCCCAGAGGAATCTTCTCTTATAAGACACTTTGGATAAAGGAGTCTGCTAAATGCATACAAATTTAAATGTTCTTGCACCTCATTGGTTGGTGTATTGCACAGTAAAGTACCAATCATTTAATTGACCATCTCTCCTCATAACAGCAACAGGAGCAAAGAGCTTAACATTTATTTTAATCCTTAGTTGTTTTTTGTCTACCATCCCCCTTGTGCTATATATCGACCTGTGACCTTGCAGCTGGCTGCTCCCTTCCTGTTTCCTGCTGGCTGTGATAAAGTAGTGCAGTGCTGGCCGGCCTGCTGCTCTGTGAGCAGCACAGGCAGCAAGGGTCAACTTCACAGAATGAGAGTGCATCTGAAGCAGCAGAGTCATGAATGGCTATAACATCATCAGCAGCAGCTGTATTATCTTTTCAATAATGGGAAAACTGCAGATTCATGATGAGGTACGGTTCCTTCATACGGCGGGGAAACTCACAAACTCAGAGCTGACACATGTACGCCTACAATTACAACACTCTGTATGTGTATTTATAGACTGTGTGATTGAAGGCAACACCTTTTTTCTACCATTTTCCACAGTTCGTTCACAGCAAAGTTTTTTTTATTCTGACTCTCATCAAAAGAGTGAATGCAGCAATGGACTGCAGCAGGTCAACAGTATAACCATCTGTGAAATGAGGAGAGCGAAGCTGCAGTTTCTAACCAGGACTGGGTCTGGTAGATAAGATTTTATTTAGATAGTGGAGAATGGAAAAAGCTGTAGTATTGAAAAATAAAATAAATTAGAAGGTGAAGGAATAAAGTTGTTGAAATATGGGGCGGTGCAACATTTTGAATGAATGACAAATAATTAATAAAAATTTCAACAAAAAGACATTGACAGTCAATTCTACTGTTATTCACTAGTCACTTGTAGTTCACAATTAATAGTTACTGAGCAAATTGCATGTAACAATTTCTATTAAGGAGCGGGGGTATAAGAAAATATCGATACACTGAAATATCATAACATTTTGTTGTTTTGTTTTTAGATTGATTGATTTCAAGCATGCAACAGCATTGTGTGTTAACTATGCTGACAGTTTTCCTACAATCAAACTGTTGCGAGGGACGTCTGTCACAAATACAAGCATTAGGCCTGATACTGTGAGATGTAATGCTGGGAGCAGAAGGTGATGGTGCTACAGCATTTGGAGGTGAGGAGGAGCTAGTGCCGACCAAACAGCAATTATGTTATTATTATTATTGAGTTGTGTCTGTGCCACAGCCCAGCACTCAATTCAACCCCCTGAACACCACTAACTCAAATACGATGAATGCATGATGGCTAAAGCTAACATTGGTCCCCTAAATCCCCGGCTGTATCCAGTGCCAACCCAGACAACCATAACGGCAACCCTGTACCCAGTGGCACTGTATCCATTCACAAGATACATTAAAATAACGAAAGCAACAAAGCGAAACATAACTACGCAGCTTCATCAATAGGCCTTGCTGTCAATGGCATATTTATTTTTCATTAGCATTTATGGTGGGTAAATTTCTATTCTATAATTTATGATTTATTTTTATTTTAAGTTTTATTTTGAAACTGAAAGCCTTGTTCACACACTGTTTGTTTATACTACAAAGTGCAATAAATATATGTTTTACACAACATAATAAATAATCAGATTCGAATATTGCTAAACATCATCGTAAATATCACTGTGGTCCTAATTGTGCAAGCCTAATACTCATACATAATTAGAATGTTTAAATAGTGTTAAGACATCCCCTAATTTTCAAATCATTAAAAAAATCGGATAAATACATCAGTTATTTAAGATTATTATCAAAATTAGAAACAGAAAATCAGACAACATGTTTACATTTTATTTAGTCACTGCTGAATGGAAAATTATCACATGATTTAGAGCAGATGAAAATTAAAAGTTAGACTAAGAAACAGAAACAAAAATACAACTTCATTCAACTGAAGCAGAATTCAGCAGAATTTTGTTCAGCTGCAGTCATGGAAGAGAGACAGTGATGGTTTTGTTATAGCCATGTTTCAGATTTGTTACAGCTGGTATTTTTTTCTATTTATTACTGAAAATAGATTCTTGGTGTTTTTTTGGGTAACCATCCTTAAGTTCATGTTACCAGAAAACAATTTTGGTTGTTTCAATTACTATTTTCACACTAAATCTAAACAGCATACTACAGATTCCTGACCATTGTGAGCCTGAGAGAAACACACCTAACAGGCCAGCAAGCCAAGACCAATTAAGAAATAGAAAGAAAAAAAAAAGAGCGCTAGTTAGAGTGTTGGAATGGTTGCTGTTTTGAATCTTTAACAAGGGTCATAAAAACAACACAATGATGTAGTTCTGGAGCTGCTTCCACCTCTTTTTTTCTTTGACCTGAAGACCCGTGTTCTAAAGAAGCAACAAGAAGTTCCATGACATCTACATCAAACATTCAACTAGACCATGAGAAAATCATTTTAGCTGGTCCCTTTATCAAGAGTCACCACCAGTCTGCATAGTCACTTGGCACTTGGAGTTCTTACACAGGCCCTGCCTGATGCAACCTAACTTGGGACTGGGGACTGAGCGAGTTTGAACCAAGGATCATCTGCATGGCAGACAGGAAGCTTACCACTGAGCCATTCAGGCCCATTATTTACCAACACCCTAACACTGGGGTGCTGTTAAGCATGATTGAGAATCTATAGTTATGTTTAATGTAAAATGAGTGCAAAAAATTGACTTCAATTGCATTTTAATGGAAAAAAACAACAACAAAAAAAAAAAAAACGCTTGTAAAGAAAGTCCTGCATCTTAAATCTTTCCACCACAAGAACGTAAAAATGAATCAAGCTGGTGTCAGACATAATGAGGAGCAAAAGAAATGTACAACATACAATTTACAATGTATTATCCATCACATGTATGACTATTTGTAGAAGTGGCTTTGTCATGGGGTGAGGGCATCACACTGTAGCCTAGAAACCCATCACTTCCTGTGAGCAGTTGGATCTGTTATCAGTGGCCAGGATAAAAAAAAAGGCTCAGTCAGTCAGGATGATCAAAGTGTGGCTCACAGAGAGATCAGCACTGTTATGGAGTTATGGAGGGTCAAAGGGCATTTCCAAAGGTACAATGAAAAATCCTTTTTTTTTTTTTAAAATCACTCTACTGGGGACTGAGAAGAATGTGTATTGTTTAACATAAATGTTTTCTGTCAGCCCACATATTAAATAGGGAACTGGCTACAAACGACGCAGCTGTTCTAACCAAAAAACGAGACCACACTCAATTCTACAGTTACAGCTCACACACCAAGACGGCTTAAATTAAATTAAATATTTTAATATTCAACCACAATGTTTCAGTTGGGGAGGCAACAAATTAACCATTTAAAAAAATACTTTTGACTTTTTTATGCAAATTAATTTTCCTGCACCATACAGGAAAGTACAAAATAAAGATGGTAATTCCTTTATGAACACACAATGCAACATATGTTTTGCATTGTTAAGTACAACTGTAGGAACATGTCTGAACTGTTAGCTGCATCTCTGCAGCCATATCCTGGCCCTGATGCAGCAACAAGCTGTAAATGGTACATAAACAATAGTGAATAAATCATTGTTCATCACCTTAGAAAAAACGTTATTATGTTATAGTTTTATTTAACTACATATTTTATCCAAATACAATTAAAGGTATAAACAGAAGATAAAAAAGGTCAACCATTCCTTAGGTAAGAAAATGTCTTTGTATTATACCCAACTCTATTTAACACAAACTTCCACATAATTTAAAAATATCTGATACAGAAAACTCCATGTTAGCTTATTGTTTTTAAAAAATGAAAAGAAATGTTGTTTTTTAACCAACGCTTTCTTTGTGGGTGAACTTAGCCTAGACAAAGGCCCAGAAGAGGAAGTTGGTGATGCAAACAAGGAGGAAGTGATGACTGTGCTTTGTTGGTTCTGCCCGAATATGGTCTGTAAGCTTTAACAATTACTTCTTAACAAGATCAGATTCACTTCTGCACCAAGAAAAAAATGCACTTACTCCAAAAACACTAAAAAAAAAAAAAAAAGATTACAAAACGCATTCAGTAACAACACAATCGCAACTTTGCTGGTGTTTTCAGCAAGTGCTCATCAGCTAATCAGGCTGTTGTGCCATAAAAACAAAGCCAGAGTTATGTTACTCCACGTTGCTAAATCTAAATTTTTCCTGGAACAATCAACAATCTGCATAGTTGGTTTTGTATTGTGGGGGAGATAATAAGGAACTCAACGTATGGGGAACCCACGTGAAGAAGTCTGTAGAACAGCACGATATACAACATCCGCCCACACTGTATTCAGGGACTGTAGAAAACTGCATTTTCACTTAGCATCAACAAGTTATCAACTGTTAAAAACTTCCATCAGAATCCTGTTGTTATCAGGTCAGACTTTGATTGCGGAGTCAAACATTCAACACCCATCCAGAACGGAGATGAAAAATTACATTTCGGATTTACTTCTAATGTAACAACTGTAATGACAGTTTAGGTCCAGAAAACAAAAAAATAATCAAAGTTGCCTTTGTTTTTGTTTGGAAATTTCGTTTCTTTGTGTTAGTTTGTTGAATTAGACAAAATTTTAGATGTAAATTTTAGATGTTTAAGCCCAAAATACTTTACCTTATTATCAATTTTTAAGATCAGAAAGGCCTCATGTCTTCTAGACAAATTTAGTCAAATCAAATATATTTTATTTAATTCCCTACCAATTATAAATGCCTCCTGACACATGTTAATGTGTTTTTTAAAATAAAACAGAAGACAGGCCTTTGTCAATGTTTCATTGATTCATCCAGCCATATATGAATATAGTGATTCACTTTGATGTGATTATATTTGGTTTTTTGCTGCCCCTTGACTAGAGGTTCTTGAGAATTCTGTCTTGAATTGAAAAAAGAAGGCTGTGGACCTCTGTCCTAGGTAAATAAAAACATCAGTGGGAGGGTTTCTTGTTAAATGGGTCATTAAAGTTATTGGATATATAAATTCCCCTTATAAAATAGGTCGTAAAATATTTACTTTAAAATCTTACACAATGCACCTTTAATTTAAAGTACTGTATACTGAGCATTTTGAGAACAGCAGGAGCCCCAGACATGGGAGTCAATACATTGACAAACAGTAAAACAAAGTTGATTCACAAGTTTTCCAGTCCAAACATTTGTAACATATTTCTTACAGGGTATTTACTATTAGCCTCAAAGTTCAGCCCCACATCAACCCTTTTTCTAGTGTCTCCATTGGATAAATGTCCACTGGTCCAGTCCTTTGCATTTTTAAGTGGGCTGATACCCATTAGTTAGTGTTAGTGTCACAGCCACTGCTGTCTCCACACAGACAATGGTAGTCTTTGTGTGTGCAGTGTCTGGCTTCTGCTTCCTCTACTCAAACAGAGCATGTTTCAGTCACAGCCAGTGCAATAAAGTGATCATTAAAAAAATGTTGCTAAATGTGGACCAGAATTAATGACAAAATATGGGGAAAACAGACACAAGTCAGACAGAAGATTCTTCTTCCTTTTTATACTTGCAATGATGTTTTTTGGGGGGGGGAGTTACCATTATGGCATAAAATAAATTAAGAGAAAAAAACTAACTTGGGAAATGAGTGATGAATCACCACTGTGAGGTGACTTAACAATACATTAATCTATAACCTCTGTTCTTCTCTGGATAATTGTCCGTATAAGACAATGTTATCTGAATCCAAGAAGTTTCAAGTTATTCTTACTATATTTATGGATCTAGAGCCTTGATAATCTTCAGTGACAGAATTAAGCCTTCTGACTGTCTCTCTGTTTTCTGCTTGAACTGAGACCTAACTTGCACTGGTGCAGTGTGTTCAGTGAAAAAGCTAAAAGATTACTAGTTAATTTTCTACAGCTATGCATTAACACGCACTCCTGCAGCCTATTCAGTACCAGTGCCATATTTACAGCACCTTCACACCTTACAAAGTGTTCAATAAAAAATACTTTTGTATACAAAAATAAAAAAAGATTTACGCCTGCAGCTACATAGACAACCCTGAGTCTGCTCTGCACAAAAAAAGATGTTACCCTGGTTAGCTGTGCATTTGAAGAGAAGGAATTATTCCTACTAAGATGAATGCCCTCACACAAGGAGCACAAGAACCACCAGTGTTTTGCATAATATAGTTGGGGAAGAACTGTTTTAGATTGATTATCCAAGAAAAACCCCACAAAGGAAGATACACTGTGCAAATGTTTTGTTATAAAATGATTTCAAATGTATTATTTAAGAGGAACGTAATAGTTATATTTACTGACCTAGGTTGTGAGTTCTCTTCATACATGCGTTCCTTCCCTTCCTTAAACAAGCTGATAGTCTGCTTGGTCTTCTTGGTCAGGTTTTCCATGAAGACCCGAAAGTACTCGTTGTCACCCAGAGTCTCCATTTTGCCCTCATAACGAGACAAGATGGTGCGCAGGTGCTGGTAGGTGTCTGGCAGTAGATCCAGGATGTATGGAGGGCTGTTCTTCAAAGCCAACTTGGGGTTTTGACACTGACGCACCACCTGCAGATGGAGAGGATATGAGTGAGATGACAAGATGCAGTAATACAGCAACCTGGAATGAGGACATTTCCATGAAGAGTTAAATCAAACATTGACTATAACTCCTTTTCTATCTTTCCTGTACTTGGTTTCAACCCAATCCTTCAACGTCTAGTTTTTAATTCTAAAACTAAGGGTATTCAATGTACTATGAGGTAAGAACCAAAAAAAAAAAAAAAAAAAAAAAACAGAACACTACTAACATTCTGGAAGTTACAATCAGAGACCTGAATATTTAATAAGAACGCTCTCAAAGCATTAAACTTCCTCCACAAATAATAGTCAATTATACAAGATTACCAGTTATTTGCAGGCAGATGACAATGTAGCTTAGCAAACTGGAGTGCGTCACCAAGGCAACTATTGATATTAGCTTCTGCTAATATGGGGCTTAAGCCTCAGAAATTAAGCGTGAAGCGTTTATGGAGCCCCAAGAAATGTGATTAACAGTGTTGTTTTAGTCAGACTTTGAAGAAGTCATTTTATCCTGTAGCTGCTGGCTATAGCACTGCCATTTTCTATATTAAAACATAATACTGTCCGTTAGCTAAAACAAGACATGCAGGATGGAAAATGCCAACATTATTCAAGAGCAAAAACAAAAAACAATGTTAAAAGCCCTGACAAGCTGGGAGCTTTCAGATTGTGGCAAGTCTCATTACATTACGTAAGGGAAGACATTCTCTTCCCAAATAAAATCACAGAGTTTGTCAATATCAAAATATTTTTTAAATTCACACGATAAAGACACCTTATACATCACTGTTTCTAACCTTATAACACAGGGACTGATGAATGAATTCATCCGTTCATCCTCTACCATTTAGAATAGTGGATAATGAGTGGTTGCTTAGTGTAAGGGTGTGTTTTTCCTACCTCTGTTAACCTGTCCAGAAGAAGGCCTGCACTGCATTGGCAAGAATCTGGCAATATGATACTTATTACAATACAGGGGCAACAATATATAACTATGATCTATTGTGACATACTGCTTTACTATAGGCTAGACCATATATTGATTTTTTTTAAACAATTGTGGGTAAGGTTTAAAAGCACCACAAAAATGAAACAACCTTATGAATATTTTTGTTAAATTTTAATAAAATAAATCAAACAGTGCTGCAGAATATCAAAATGTTTCATATAATTATACATTTTCATTGTAAAACTGTAACGCTTAAAATATTGTATATACTCTGTTAATAAATTACTTGGACTTCATTACCCAAGTCACAATGTTATTTATAACAACTTTAGGCAGAAGCTGAGAATCATTATAATAAAGGGCATGAACCAAAGTACCTTTCTACTTCATATAACTATTTACCTCATGCATTTGCAAAATTCACTTAATTTATATACAGTTAAATTAATCTGAAGTCCTTAGTGGGAAGATTTTGCTGGACGATATTTTACTATTTATAATTCTGCAGTAGATACAAAAACAGGGCACAATTGTGTCTGCCTGTTGCTGCCACCATATTGATTTGTGCTTGAATATCAAATACTATACCATTTACAAATGTGCTTGTATGTTTTGGATATTTGTCAATTTGAAGTACGAGGGAAAGAAGACAATGTTAAGAATGCCGTGAATTTTTAACAGCACAACCTGTTTTAAATAACCACTGCTGTGATTACAAGATGCATGTGATTCCTTTGACACAAATAAGTCGGTAGGAAGGTTACACACCGAGTTTAATAAGCACAAAAAAGTCAGTCAATGGCTTGACAGAGTAATCTGTAATCAGTAATCACGCTTAGATTAGGCAGGTTATAAAACACATGGATGTAGACCTTCTCAAGTTAATGGTCAAATGGTGGGAAATCAATGACATGCCTGTGTCTGTCCTGAGTCACCACACTGTATGAACGCACGTCTCGTCCTCTAATGTTAAATCTTCAGTCACCACCTCCCTGTCACATTGCCCTCATATTTGACCTCACGGTGTTCTGTCTTAAGGTTTGGTATCGTGTAAACTTGGATTGATTCCAGGCTCCTAGCAGCATTCAGACATTGCATGTCCTGATGTGAACCAGCCCTGAGCTTTAGAATTCAATGATGATTAAACAAATGTTATAACTAAATATGGCAGGAATTGCATGTCAAAAATGTTTGATTCTTTCTTGTCTGTTCTTGCAGAAATCATCTATCTTTTCTTCTCCCTCAAAAGACTTCCAAAACAAATACAACTGCACAAAGACCACAATATGGTCAATTATTATACTGCAATCAATATTCAGGTTTTAGGCTGAATATTCAGTTTTTGTGTGAGGACTGAACTTTCTAATTAATTAACAATTTCTGGGTTACAGATAAGTACTTTACTGGCTGACTCAGGACTTGGCCCAATTTCTTTGGCATTAAAAAATGGTTTGGGTCATAGTTGGAACATAATAAGCCAAGACCTGGATACGCACATCTGCAGGTACAGGGTTCATTTTACTTCTATTCTACACTGTTGTTGCACTCAGGTGCAGGACTGAGTCAGGCGTGCAGCCACTAAAAGTTTCCAAGAGTTTACAGTGGCAGCAACCACAGTTAGCCACTTGTAGGTTAAAACACTACATACTGAAGAATTGAGGGCTATGGGTAACATGCAACACAGACTTATAAATTACAGGTTGATGAAGTTTTGAGTAAGGTGGTAGTAGGTTAAAAGTTTCACATTTTATCATCAGGGCTAAAAACATGAAATAATCTGCCAAAAAATTGAAGCGACAGTGGGTAGTAGCAAGAAAGAAATATGAAAAAAGAAAAATGACAGCAAATATTTTGTAATTGGCATATTGATACTACATTAGGAGCCCGGGGAGACTGAAAATATTTGTAACCACTACAAATATAATGTTTCTCATCCCCAGAGTACTCAAAGTCTGAAGTACTTCAATGCAATACACACTGTTGATGTCAGCAATTAAGTTAATGTATGAAAACTAATTGGCGTTGTTCGTTGGTCCACACAACAGTACTTTTACATAATTATCTGCAATTTTTTTGTTGTTTAGTCACACAATTGTATTAAACCATTAATTCTTCAACATCATTTGATTAAGAAAGGTTACATATCTGCTCATTCTACAGCTTAAATGTATGTATATATTTTTTATCATTATTTTAGAAGCCTTAAATTTAAGTTAAACACAAAACAATGTCTTGTCTTCCAGGTCACTGAGTGAATACTTGTGCATCTCTGCAGGAAGTTGGGGTCAAACTGCAACATACTTGTGAAGTTGTGAAACGGTTCTGCCATGTGTAGCAGCAGAAAAAGCCTGCTTAAATAAACGCATTTTTTGGCAACTATTTGGTTTTGGTTGGTTAGGTAAGGTTTGAGATAGTGCTGAGAGGCTGTTTATTTTATATCTTAAAGCAGCAGCAGCACTGAGGAGCCACTGTTGCTCTGCGATATATTCAGATCCTGCATGCCAATGTTTGCATTTTCAATGTTAATATTTACGATCCATCCTAACGCCATAAACGTGGCTCAACAAGTTGAATGTTTCAAGAAGTGACGACTGAAGTCGACAGAGAAGCTCAGCACTTAAAAAACAGATGTGCTGCAGACACCGGGTGGTTTTATCCCAGAAAATGTTAATATTACCCTGCTTTTAAAGTAAATAATTTCAGGTTCCGACACTGCCAACACACTGCGGTATTTGTTTGCTCTTTAGCTTATGGTGGCTAACCGTCCATTGATGGCAGCTGACTGGCTGAGTAAACGTTAGCAGCAACAGTCGTACAGCAGCAACATTAGCAAGCTTCCACCTAATTAGCTGCGGTTAGCTAGCAGTGGTAGCACAGTCACGACTGCTTGACAGTGTTCAGTACTAACCTTGTCCATCAGTTTCCAGCACTTCTCCACCGTCTTTTTGTCCACGGCACCGGGCTGGTGATGGGAGTGGAGATGATGGTGGTGAGGCTGGAAGGCATCCTTCATCATGCCGATGAGCCCCCCACCTTTCTTCAGGTTCCCTGCCATGTTTCGAGGCTAGCCTCGACCAGGGCTATGCAGGGGCTGGGCAAGGCAAGGAATGGAGGGCAGGGGGCCAGAGGTTCAGGGTACGGGGGGTCGAACCGCCTCCTGTTAGCTGGACCTGGCGACAGAGATCCGGCACCCCTGGCGAGGAAATCGCCCGAGTGGCGGATCGGAGCCAGGGTCCGAGGGAGGGACAGAGGGAGGAATGACTATCGAATGAATACTCCCATCATTGAAGTCAGCGTTACAGTTTTGCCAGATAAATGCACCTATTGTGGCTAAAACAAGCCTCTCAGTCAGTTAGAGTCTCTCTCTCAGAGGCTGCGCTGCAGCTAGCTACTGTAGTAGTGCTGCCGCTGCTGCCGCCGCCGCCGCCGCTGCTGCTACTGGCTCTCTCTGCCCGGGACCACGCAGGCTAATTAGCC